TGCATATAATTGACTCAGTACAAGGTGTGTTCCTATAACTTATTCTATCAATATGACCAAGTTGTGAAAACAAGGTCAAACAACTTAAATACAACGGAAGAAGACTGCCACCACAAAAAAGGCCACACCATCTTGGTCTTCATACTTTCGAATAGTTATAGTAAATGATAGTGGAACGTCGTGTGACAACTTTAGGTCCTCGGTTGAGGCCGCGGTTGGGTTAATGGCACAACTTTGAAGAGAAGTATTGAACAAATTTTCCACGCCGATTAGTTGTGGGTGATGTCTGATAGTGCAAATCATGGTAGTGATTGCCTGTGAATTAATAAATACAGATCGCACGGAAATAGCTAAATGAGAATGCCATCAATTAGCGAATTATCCGAGAGATTAAGATAAATGCAGGCGGCCCTATCGAGCAGAGAAATTCTATCGCTATTGCTATGATGCCGCAAAAGTATTCATTGAGTTAAAAACCATGTAGCCATTTGGTTTTCAAGTTCTGCTCCTTCAAACATTTGCAATAGGTAACTAGTCCACTTGGCTAATTGGCTAACTTTGTACTCGATCGACACTTTGACAGACTGGGAGACGCATAAATTGCTTATGCAGACTTGTGTTTAGTTCAAGGACCTTAATTTTTAAAAGAAAAGAAGACAAATGCAACAGATGATGGAATCCGATGAATTATTAAAGAGCATTTTGCTTTACGTTCTAGGCGCGAAATATGAAAAGGCGTTCAGACAACCGGTTAAATAACAAAATAAGTAGCCCAGAGTATAAGAAATGTGTGCAAGCTCTGTCCGCGCGAATCATAGTGAGAGTGATATGGAGAGAGTAGGCCAAGGGGAACGGGCCCGCACATAGTGGGATAATAATAGCATTAGTAGAATGAACGGTTTGACAGATGGAAGCAACGATAACATGGTAAGTAGCTGGGCGGGCATATGGGAAAGTTGGTGGGAAGACGGATGGGTCGGGGTAGATCAGAGATGAATAAGGCAAATTGGTTGAATGGATAGAAAAGTGAAAATGTATCTGAATGGATGAATGGATTGAGGGGTGGATAGGCAAGTGGATGGATGGATGAAAAGGCGAAGGGACTTATGAATGGTTGAGTGAAGTGACATCGCATTGTTGAATGCTGCCAGTAAAGGATCATTGGCCCATACCGACCGTATTAAGGTCAGTCAGGCCTGGAAATATGGTAGAATTAAGCCAAACATCCGTGGACTCACTTCATCTCGGAAAATATAGCCCATCACGGATGCCGCCACCTGAGCCGCAAAGATGACGATCAGGAGAGTGAAGTAAGTGCCCAGGGCACATTGCGACTCGTGGTAGGCGCCGCAGCAGCCCAGTAGTGCCACGATTAGGGTTACGCCTCCGATGCACATCAGGGTGTACAAGGCTACCATTACCACGTCCTCTTGGCCAGAGCCATGGATGAAGTCCTGTGCGTATGGCTCCAGATAAAGGAAGACTGCGAAACCCAAAGTGGCCAGGCCGATAAGCTTGACGAGGGGGATAATGGGGGCAAAGGGCAGAAGGTGATCGGAGGGAGTGGAGATCAGAAAGGATCGTGAAAATGAGATTGTTAATGGTTGGCGCAAGTTTGGCCTCGCACCGAGGCCGACCAAATGGGTAATTCAGACATAGCGTCAAAGCAACAATTCATATAATCCGAAGTCGTCTGCCATAGTAGTTTTCATGACTTCTAGTAACGACTTCAGACTAGGTGAGTTATACTAAGTCGCCCTGACAACAGGACCAAGTTGCGACGAGGTCAACTCACTTCTATAAATCGAAAGGAGACTGCGACCATAC